GTAGTTAACCGATGTCCGAATCTAATAAATCTATTAAGAATAGACAAATCAAGGTAACAAATATAACTGAAAGAATCACATAACCTTTAAGAGCAAGAACGGGTGCTTCGACAGGGTAAACATATCTTGCTTTGAATGCATCCACCACCTGTAATGCATAACCACACTCAGTCAAAAGGTAGTTTTCGGGTATATGACACATATATGTATATTTGCAGACAAGGACAAGCAATAAATATCCCTTCAGTAATGTTGGACACATGACAATTTCAAAATAATTTTCATTGTAAAACCAGGCAAAATTATGACTGTTGTTTGTCTTTTGATCGTTTTCGTTTTTTGACATTGCATTGTAAGCTAGTTTTTCGAATTATTGAATATCCCTTTGGTATCTTCCGTCTCATTTTTAACAGATATCATCTTATCTGCATTTATGTTGTATTCAGTAAAACACTGTAATTGGAATCCCACAGCAGATAATTTCATTTCCATTGTATTTATGTATGTCAAATCCTCGTTACAGAACAACTAAATGACATCAAGAAACAGACATTTGCGGGAATATTTTGCCGCAGTTTGAAGCTTGCTGTCATACAAAGGAAAGTTTTTGAAAAAGAAAGTTACAAGTACGTATTTGAATTTTTTATTTTTATACCAATTGATTTGTAATCTATTTAGATCATCGGAGACAAAAAACGTGGACGACAAGCTACATGTAATTTGTGACATTTGACACGAGAACAACAGGAAATACCTATAATATTTTACAATATACAGGCAATTCTGTGCTGAGGATAAATGGTAAAGAGACGTTGAGGAAAATTGTACAAGAGGCCACACCAACTACCAACGGCCGACTCCTCTGTAATAATATCGCTTCAAACAACAACAATGAACAATACATGGTCTAGATAGCTGAACTTCGTACCGGCACACAATGATTAAATAATGTTTTAATTTATTTCCTCTGTGACATTAGTATACGGAGTTGCGGCAAAAGCTTGCTGTCATGGCACAATATACCAGTGTGATCTTTCGTATTCTGAACTTAGTACATTCTTCGTCAATTTACTGTCTTCAATCGTATTTTTATGTACAAAAAGGTTCCATCTTTTGGCCTTTTGCAATTTCAACCCAATCATCTTTTTAATGTTTAATTTAAACATACGTTTGAATAGAACAAACAGCCAAATTCCAAGACTTATATTAGTATTAAAGAACAAATGGAGATCTGCATACCACGTATTTACAAAGTACGTGATAAAATTGTATTCAAGTAGACCTTCTTACATCGTCATGCTTATGTAAAATTGCCTTCTGATCTTATTGAGAAGGTAGTTGATTTTTTAAAGGATCGAAAAAGGATGTTTCAATTCATTTTTTTCTGGGTCCAATGGGTGGTAAATGGCGCATGTATGTTGTTTGCTTTATGTGATGTATTGGTATTTTTCAGAAATCCACGTGTGAAATGTGATAAAGTTCCAGAGCCAAATTTATATCTATGGAAGGAACGTAGGGGTTATTTGAAATATTAAAGTCCTGAACTTTTTCTAGGCTTTTCTCTTGTATTCACTATATTCGCTATCATGTCATCAAGATAAAAAAAAATTAGTCTTGATGCACCAAATTTGTTCCTAGGAAATATTGTCTCCGGAACCGCAGTCTAATATAAAAACGATTGTTTATAAACATTCATTATTCATGAAATGTGTCCATAATATAGCTGTTTTCTGCTCATTGGTCTGGTTATTGTCTCTTTGACACATTTCCCATTTCGAATCTCAATTTTGTTTAATATGGTCGACATGGTCGAAGTTTTTAGATCTATGAAAATATTATTAAAAATGAAAGTAGAATGATGTGGTATTACTGCCAATGAGATAAAAACACCAAAGGTCAATGACAATGATTTACTCTACTACATAAACAAAGGTCAATGACAAGGATTTACTCTACTATAGATTAAAGGTCAATGACAAGGATTTACTCTACTACAGACACAAAGGTCAAGAACAAGGATTTACTCTACTATAGATACAAAGGTCAATGACAAGGATTTTTTCTACTACAGATACAAAGGTCAATGACAAGGATTTACTCTTCTATAGATACAAAGGTCAATGACATGGATTTACTTTACTACAGACACAAAGGTCAATGACGAGGAAATACTCTGCTACAACGGATACAAAGGTCAAAGGACAAGGATTTACTCTACTACAGATGCAAAGGTCAATGACGAGAAAATACTCTACTACTACAGATACAAAGGTCAATGACAAGGATTTTCTCTACTACAGATACAAAGGTCAATGACGAGGAAATACTCTACTACTACAGATAAAAAGATCAATAATAAGGATTTACTGTACTATAGATACAAAGGTCAATGACAAGGAAATGATGTATACTGCTTACAGGGAAGCTTTTGATCCAAGGATTCCAAGTGTGAAGTTGAAATCATCCCTTCGAAAATTTTAATGGTTGACCATTATCGAATATCTGTGTCACAGATGGTGACGTTTATGGTCCAATCGGTGAAACCACAATCCCGTGACATTACCGAATGCGACTAAATATCACCGAAACTGTACATGTATGAGTAACAAAACGGGTGCCACATGTGAAGCAGGAACTGCTTACTCTTCCGGAGCCTGTCAGTTCGACCCCTGTTTTGATGATGTTTGTTTTGTACAATTTTTAGTGTCTCATTTAGTTTTGAATGTCCCCTTGTAATCTTTCCCCTTATTATAAGAAGTCGCTTGTCAATTTTGAAGTAAAAATTCACATTCTGAATATCAAAATTAGGATCACAGGCAAACAGCTTTTAACTGAAAAATATGAAGCCATACACCGTGCAAACATTTTAATTTGTCCATCAACATGATCAAATGAGCTTCCAAATATATTATCATTCAAGATATCAAAGATGATGATATAGGTTTGAAAGAATCTTTGTTTGGATCATAGGGATTTACAAAAAAGATACATATATGTGCATGCACATTTTCCATTGTATTTAATGAAAAAATCTTTACTTATACCCTCAGTTTATCTTTATGGTTAACATAGAGAAAACGTGTGTAAAGGTTAGAGAATTCAACTGTTTTATAATGGTTGTACAATGAAAAGAATCAGCGAGTACGTTAAAACAGATTTTTGGATATTTTTAATATCCACATTCTAATTAAAGCTTTGGTGACGAGGTAAAACAGCAACTGTGAAAAAGTAAAATAACAAAAATACCGAACTTCAAGGAAAACCTAAAACGGTAAGTCCCTTATCAAATGACAAAATCAAAAGCCCAAACACATCAAACGAATGGAAAACAACTTTCATATTCCTGACTTGGCACGGGCATTTCGTTTTGTAGAAGATGGTAGATTTAACCTGGTTTTAAAGCTAGCTAAAACCCCTCACTTGTATGATAGTCATCATTCCCTGACATTCCCTGAGACCCTATTATGTTTGGCAGGAAAAAAGTGTTAATAATCTGAAAATAAGTTTACTTTTGTCTTTTTATTTTCGACTTATGAGTTGAAATGTCTCTTTGGTATCTTTCGCATCTCTTTTAGACCCAGTGATATGACATTGTTTGTGAAGCACTTAATATGTCATTTGGGGTTCCATGATGAGTGATAAAAGATCCAGTTATCTAAATACGGTTAAAGATTGGGAGTAATAAAGATAAAAGAGATGTATAACTTTCATGATTTGCTCTTATTTAAGCGGTTTAGGAGCAAACGTTTTTTTAGAGGAATTTTTAAACTGAGTCAATATTTTTAAAAAGTCCTTGTTGTCACAAGGATTACTATCCATTACATAACATCTAAAGATTTAAACACTTAATCTGTTTGAAATAAATGTGCTCTCAAATGGTCAAAAAGCATAACATCAAAAGATTTAAACACTTAATCTGTTTGAAACAGATGTGCTCTCAAATGGTCAAAATACACCATCGATCGTGTTCCTAACGTGAGAATATCACTGGACCAGTTCAGTAGGAACTGTTTACCCTTCCTGAGTATCTGGGTTGACTGATGGTTTCTTAATGTCATGTTGATCGTTAAACTGAATGTCAAATTTTCTATATGGTGTTTTGTGGGTTAGTGTATGTCTTTTTATTAAATCGATAAACCGATAATTTGTGTCTGTAACTGAACTCATCATCGACATATACCGGTGTTCAAAAGTCATATAAATCGATTAAGAGAAAACAAATCCGGGTTACAAACTAAAACCGAGGAAAACACATCAACTATAAGAGGAAAACAACGGAACAACAGAAACACTGAACTGTAACAAAAACAAACGCCAACATACATAGAAACGGACTATTTGTTAACACACCCTAAAAGTCGTCTCATTAAATAAGGTTAAATAAGGTCTCTATGTAGGTCTTGTGTCCCATTGTGACATTTTTTACTGCGTCTGGATTCGCAAGACAGGTTCACATACATAGCAGGAGAGGCTTACCGTCAGGACAGGTTCACATACATAGCAGGAGAGGCTTACCGTCAAGACAGGTTCACATACATAGCAGGAGAGGCTTACCGACTGTGTCCTATTCCCAATTGTGACTTTTGACTGAGTGTGAATTCACATTACAGATGATGCATGCATACAAGAAGACGCTTTCCTTGTCAAACACCCGGTCTCGCTCCTTTTAGTTTATTTGTCGGCGCACTTTTTCTCGCTACAATTTGAGTTGATGTGATTCCCTTAGGTTTTGTTTTCTTTGTTTGGAGTGACTTTTGTATTATCTTGATAAGAAATGTTCATTGAAACGTTGTGGATGTAGAAAGAAAGAGGGGTATCATACTATGCAGAGTTCTTAAATATAAATAATAAGCATAACATCAAAGTTGAAATATTTTTTTTATTTTCATTATCTTTAATCTAAACATAACAAATGCAATACTGGCAAAATGTTCTCTAACCAACAACATCCAAGAAGCAACATTTACACGTTTGTTATAAAACCTAGAACACTATAAAGATCGTTTCTCTAATTTAGTAACGTGTCTTTCCATCGGAAACTTCTTGCTATACGAAGCAGACAAATGACACAATGTGTTATCTAAGCAGACAAATGACACAATGTGTTGACTAAGCAGACAAATGACACAATGTGTTGTTTAAGCAGACAAATGACACAATGTGTTATCTAAGCAGACAAATGACACAATGTGTTATCTAAGCAGACAAATGACACAATGTGTTATCTAAGCAAACAAATGACACAATGTGTTAAATAAGCCAACAAATGACACAATGTGTTGTTTAAGCAGACAAATGACACAATGTGTTATTTAAGCAGACAAATGACACAATGTGTTATTTAAGCAGACAAATATGAGTATTAGGTTGACATCTCTAATTTAAAACAAATAGAACCAACATTTTTTATTAATCCATGTGTATACACTAATGTGTGAAACTGATGATGAGAAAAAACTGATAAGGCTGTTTTTGCTGATGCTGAATTATAAAACTGACATTTCTAACGTTAAACACAATAACCATATCCGCTAGCCATCTGTTGGTATTGTCGTACTAGATGATCATTCATATACCGTTACCGATCCAGCGGCACGTTTTTTCTGATAAACATGGCATATTCATTACATCAGGATTTCATATGATCATTATACTGCTACACTTATACTTGCTGGGTCGCCATTTCTCTACCACCATTCTACAACAAAGAGACATGTAACCATTAAAAAGGTTCGTTGACAGGAATTTAAAAATAACATTTTGTATTTGTATTTAGTGGTAATTATGGTGAGTAAATGCGCTTATTCAATATTAGAGCAACAAAAAGATTGAAGCTAAGTGATGGACGTCATTGATAATAAGCTAAGATAAAAAAGGTTGAAGAAGATATATAAGTGATGAACGTCAATGATAAAAAGCTAAGAAAAAAAAGGTTGAAGAAGATTAGTGATGGACGTCAATGGTAATAAGCTCAGAAAAAAAGATTGAAAAAGATAAGTGATGGACGTCAATGATAAGAAGCTAAGAAAAAAAAAAGATTGAAAAAGATAAGTGGTGGACGTCAATGATAATAAGCTAAGAAAAAAAAACTTGGAGAAGATAAGTGATGGACGTCAATGATAAGAAGCTAAGAAAAAAAGGGTTGAAGAAGATAGATGATGGACGTCAATGATAAAAGGCTAAGAAAAAAGGGTTGAAGAAGATAAGTGATGGACGTCAATGATAATAAGCTAAGAAAAAAAGGTTGAAGAAGATAAGTGATGGACGTCAATGATAATAAGCTAAAACAAAAAGATTGATGAAGATAACTGATGGACGTCAATGATAATAAGCTAAGAAAAAAAAAAGATTGAAGAAAATAAGTGATGGACGTCAATGATAATAAGCTAAGAAAACAAAAAGATTGAAGAAGATATGTGATGGACGTCAATGATAATAAGCTAAGAAAAAATGGTTGTAGAAGATAAGTGATGGACGTCAATGATAATAAGCTAAAGAAAAAGAAATTGAAGAAGATAAGTGATGGACGTCAATGATAATAAGCTAAGAAAAAAAAAAGATTGAAGAAGATAGGTGATGGACGTCAATGATAATAATCTAAGAAAAAAAGAATGAAGAAGATAAGAGATGCACGTCAATGATAATAAGCTAAGAAAAAAAAGTTGAAGATAAGTGATGGACGTCAATGATGATAAGCTAAAAAAAAAAGTTGAAGAAGATAAGTGATGGACGTCAATGATAAGAAGCTAAGAAAAAAAAGGTTGAAGAAGATAAGTGGTGGACGTCAATAATAAGAAGCTAAGAAACAATAAGGATGAAGAAGATAAGTGATGGATGTTAGTGATAAGAAGCTAAAAAAGGTTGAAGAAGATAAGTGATGGACGTCAATTGTAATAAGCTAAGAAAAAAAAGGTTGAGGAAGATAAGTGATGGACGTCAATGATAATAAGCTAAGAAAAAAAAAAGAAAGAAAACTGAAAGAAACATGACATTAAAAACAAGTACTATCTTTAAAAAAGATATCTGACGCATTCCGATGTGAGCATAGAGTTTAAAACAAACCATAAATCTTTATCAGTTTTGTTTTATCAATTAAAAAAAAAAATTGCACACAATTTGACGGCAAAAAGCTGACGATTCTAAAAGATGAGTATATGCGCTTTTCTCTAAAGAATTAAAATATATACTGCATGGTACTCAACTAAATCTATATATATCTAGAGGTATTTGTCATTGAATCGATGTTGAATTATTATTAGATTTTGCAAATTTGTATCAACGTTGAAATCCTATGTTGAATCAACGTTGATGGGCAACTTTTAATCAATTTTGAATAATGGTTGCTTCAACATTGTTTCAACCAATAACTTCATTTAAATTCTGATTAAATTCAGGGTGACTACCATATTTTGTAAAACAATCAAAGTTGAATAGAGATTGTTTCAACTAATGACTGGTTGATTTCGGATTGATAACAAGTTTTTAAACGTTCTGTGTTATATTCAACACTGAATCAAAATTGGTTAGTGGTTGTGTTCTACTTTGTTTCAACCTAAAATTTAAGTTTCATTCATCCTGTGTTTTCTGTGTGTTGCATTCCATATGATATTAAACTGTAGCAACTTTAATGATTCAATAGCAATATCGGACATTCCAGATACATAAATACATTTTCAAGCTAGTGTCTTCTCAGAGGCAATAAATATCATAGCAACATTCTGCCGCAGGAAACGTTCTCCAATAACTGCTCCATCAGACCAGAGTATAAAAAATAATCTCAGAAAAAAACTGATGAACTTTAATTTAAAAAAACTAATGACAATGACAAAGTTATTTCATGCTAGCCTGGTATACTTAAATTGACATTTTTCCAATAAAAGAAGAATAGCATCTCTGCATTCTTAAGCAAGCTTGGTCAATTAGTTAATTATCTGTCACAAATAAGGTTTAACAATAACTTACTGTTTGAATAAAGATTGTTGAATTTCGAAATAAACATTAGTCATTAGGAAATTGAGAAACTCTTGCTATAATATACAAGTACTCAAAATCAACATCTGACAATAAACCATCTCAAATCATTGTCTGGTCATATTTAACATGGTGTGGGCTTTTGCTCATTGTTGAAGACTGTATGGTGACCTAAAGATGTATACATAATGTTCGTTGGTGGATGATTGTCTTATTAACAATAAAAAACTGGTTGGGTGCATAAAACTTTAAATAGATGTCATTGACTGTCAGTTATTCGTAGAAGATCAGTAATTTGTAACAATTAAACTGACCACATTCATGTGTGGAGAGCATGGCTTGACCGCCAACAACCAATCAACCGAATAAAAAATATGTGTGTTTAGGGTTTTCCTACGAACCATAATTCTTTGTACCAACACTTAAGATTTTATCAACATTTAATGATATGCATAAAAACCTACAAATCATCCTCTCAGAGAAATATAGAAAAAAACAAAGAAATATGGAAAAAATCAGCAAAATAAAAAAAATATTTCATATACTGACCTATCCTGATTTTTGAAAGCACACAACCCTTGATCGCACATTTTTGGCCCAATGTCTATTTTAAATATCCGAGTGATCAAAATATGAAACAAAGTTTGCTGTTCCTAACCCATGTATTCTAATGTCCAACCACTGATTATAGAGAAATATTCAATACAATAAAATTAAAATAAATTTATTTATCAATAGTGAAAACTGTCATCAAAGTCTCAACTACATTTCCTTTTATATACATGTAGAGCAGAAGGAATGATCTGCAAGAAAATCCTAAATACTACATTTTAATTTGAACAAATTGAAGGTAAAGTTTATCCACGTATGTCTTTTTCTGGATTATTTGTGCAGTTGCTTGGATATCTGTCCAATTGACATATACCCTTCATCTTTGATTATCTTGTCAAAACACTACTTCAATTTTGACAGTAAAATTTTAAAGGTCCAACATGGTGAACCATATGTCTTCCTATCTTTCCATCCCAATTTTGTATTAAAACAAGCCCCCATTTTTTATGAGATTTCGTGTAACTGAATTTTACAGGTAAATAATAAAATTTCTTTTTACTTTTGATTCAATCATATGATGAATCCAAGTATTCGTTGATAAAAATTCATAAGACGTTGCAAGGTAATATTGGGAATGGTAACATGCTAGCCAAACATCCCAATATTCCGCGTGAAAAATTTCAATTTTTCCGTACAGTTTTCATAATAACATAATATGCTCACATTTCGAAATACGATACTGTATTTACTGTAATCACAACGGAATTTATATATACTTACGATAGAAATGTAAAAGCTATATATAGGAAAGATATTGATAAAAACTATGAAGAATCACCTCATGGTCTCGAAAGCGGATATTCAAACTTTCCCAGCAAAAACAACTGCGCATGCGCATATCTGAATTTGTCTTAAAATAAAATGTTAACATAATATGCTCACATTTCGAAAATACGATACTGTATTTACTGTAATCACAACGGAATTTATATATACTTACGATAGAAATGTAAAAGCTATATATAGGAAAGATATTGATAAAAACTATGAAGAATCACCTCGTGGTCTCGAAAGCGGATATTCAAACTTTCCCAGCAAAAACAACTGCGCATGCGCATATCTGAATTTGTCTTAAAATGAAATGTTAAAAATGCCGCGAAAATTTAAATCACTGTTCCGATTGTTTTATAACGGTTGTTTATATGACAAACATTGTTTATGTACTGATGTATACGTCTTTCTCTTTAGATTGATAAAAAAGAAATGAAAACAAGAGATTTGTCAAAAGCAGCCCGGGGAAAAGGGGGTATTTTTTTTGGGGGGGGGGGGGGGGGTGGTGGGGAGGGGCATTACTCACAAATATTTACATTTACTGTATGCAAGCTGGTTCTATTATTATGTTTGGATTGCAAAGTTTGGTTGTTTTTTTATGTAAGTGTGACTGACCGCTGGTATTTTATGGGGTAATTTCTAAATGTCATTATGCATTTTTAACTCTCTTTTTGCAAATTTTGGTGTAACCCCTTAATTAGTGTTCAGGTATTTTCTTTATGGGTCCTTCCTTTCAGCGGGCATTATTCTATATATGTTTCAAAATTTATATGTTTTGGGGGCATGCGACAGGCTGCGATTTGTTCAGAAAAGCAAGTACTCCCATATGGGACATCAACCTGATTTTGACGGTTAACAGCTTAATTGGACATGCCATTAACAAATAAACATTTTTGGAACTGTCAAAATAACGGATACTAACACTCGAAAATTTTTACTAAAACAGGTTAACAGAGAAACCTCTTGTCCCCTATCAATGATTAATATTATATATGTTATTCAGGTCTCAGAC